TATTTAATAGTTTGTTGATACTTCTTTAATTATGACTAAATAAAAAGTAATAAATTTTTTTTTTTAGAAATGATCTCCCCCTAAGACTAAGATGGTGTTGCCAGCTCAACTTATATTACCCTATAATGATTATAATTAAAAGAATCTGTTGGAAGGAGAAAATATGGAAATGAAAAAAATAATAAAGAAAATGAAAGAAATTGTTACTAATGCACTCAAAGAAAATGAGTCTTCTACCATGACCTTTTCTCAATTAGCACTAAAGTGGAAAAGTTCGGTGTAGGAAATTAATATATATATATTGGAATGATTTGGTTTCGATGCTTAGTTTTCCTTGATATGCTTTTGCTGATACTACTTTCTAATGATTGTCATGAATATTATATTTAAAATTATGATAGAAAAGGAGGTCATCATAATGATTATTTGCACCATTATGCTCCTAACATGTCATGCTTGTGTAGCATTTTATTAGACTTTTGATTTGAATTTGTCTTGTTTTCAGTATGTGTTGCCTTTATAAGATTTGCTTATTAAGATATTATTTTAAAATTTCTAGAATTTAAAGATCACAATATTGGAATATATGTTTTTTAAATTCTGCTAGTGGTGGATGTAGCTACAATTAAAAATATAAAGAGAAGCGGATGCATAAACTTGTAGAAGTGAAATTGCATCACAATAAGTCAAAAGGAAACACATATTTTGAATGATCGAAAAATAAAAGTCATGAATACCATACTACAATGTAAAATCATAAAAAAAAAATAACTTTTTCTTTCTTAGAAAATTCAAATAGAATATTTCCATAAGAAATTGATACAAACTTTTAAAAATTTAATATAAGAAAATCACAATGTTATAAAAATTAGTTTTAAAAACCAGTTTTTTTCTCTTTCAAAACTGGTTATATAACCAATTCTGGTTATAACTAGTTATATAATCAATTTTTAATATATTTGGTTATATAACTAGTTAGTAAAATATAACCAATTATATAAGCGATTTTTGAAAACTTATAACCAGTTATTACAAATTATAATTGGTTATTGAAAACTAGTTATAGTTAAATTAAAATAATTATTTATAAATATGGTTATTAAATGGTAATAGTTAAGTTATTTTAATAACTTAACCATGAGCAGCCTTAGAGAGAAACAAAGAGGCAAGCAAAAAAATTGAAGAAAAGGAAATGAGTATCTTTCTGAAGGGATGACCAAAATGTAAATTTGATTTCTTTCCATTTGTATATAATAAAATCATTCTAATAATTGACTTGTCAAATATTTAGACTATTTACATATTTCAATATAAGAATTATATATATGGAAGAAGAAAGAAATCCTTCGAAGAATCGCGTCCCCATGAGCTCCAAAAGTGTTCTGTTTCTTCCTTGCCCTGTTTTCTCTTCGTTCAATTCAAGATGATAGCTTTTTCTCTCTCTTCTTCCCTTATATATGTGATAGAATTAAAACAGAGTGAACAGGAAAGAGACAAATCCGCTCAGCGCCTTGGAATGGCTGAGCGGATTGAAGGATCCTTCACCCTAAAGTAACCTAAAGGGCTGAGCCCCTTGGATCTGCTAAGCGCCTTTCTGGCAGAGAGCATCATTTTTTCTGGATCAAATCCGCTGAGCAGATTGTAATGACTGAGCGCCTTGGAGGCAGAGAGCACTCCTTCTCTTCCAGTGCCAAATCCACTGGGCGCTTCTGAATGGCTGAGCGCCTTCAATTTGGGAGGCTCTCTGACTTGATTCTATTGAGCGCTTTAGAATGGCTGAGCCATTCATCTCCAGGTTTCAAAACCTACAAAATAAGCACCAAATTGGATCAAAAGCTTCATATTCCTTATACTAGCAATAATCAAAAATACCTCTTTGATTCTAAGCATATATAGATCAAAATAATATCAATATGTACACAAAGTGTGCTAGATAAGTTTCTCAAGTGAGTATTTAATCAAACTAATTAGACACTTATCAATCCACTATGAGAAGACTTCATAATAGTTATGTAAGTATCAAATGTGTTTCTCATGACAATCATGGTGAAGTAGTCCTTTGACTTGAAGTCACTACAATTCTTAGCAAACCTAGTTTGTTGTAACTTATTAAGTCCGACTTGATGATTTTCAAAAGTACAAGAACCAAAACGAAGTTCTAATGCCCTGGTAAAAGACCTTTTATTAGTAAGTTGGTTGTTTTGATACATCCATTTGAACCAACTTAATGCTTCCAAGGTATATGATAAAACACAAAGTATTGCTTGGCCTAAAATAGCCAGTCTAAGGGTTGAAATCCATTAATATTATTGATTTTTAATTTAGGGATGCAAGATATTATTGTAGAATTTGTAGGAGAGGGAAAAAGTGGAAAATTTTAAGGGTGGCTATATGAAGGTCGAGGTGAGATGTGTGATGGAAACATTGTAGAGAAACCGGATTGATGTTAATTCCTCTTCAAGTTATTCCCTAGGCCTTTGGCTCCTTGATTCTTCTTAAGCTTCTCCAAGGTCTCTAATGGAGGAAAATACCTTGGAAGCACCACGGTTTGGTGTAGAACCCTCTCAAAAGACGTCACTCCTTGGGGAAGAGATAAGTCTCTTCAATTCTCACCACACTCTTATATGAAAGGGATAAGAGAATTGAATGAATATCAAAGAGGTTAAAGACTTTTGGAAAAGAGAATTTTCGTGCAAATTCTGATCTCACTCAAAAATATCATCCAAAAGTGATTACAAAGGTAAGAAAAAGGTTTATATATGGTGGGAGAAACTTATTGTGCAAGCTAGGCTAACAATGGTTCAAGAGAACCATGGTTAGCTTAGCTTGACCATCCTAGACGGTTTAGGAGGCTTGTGGAGCAAGCTTCTAACTTAGAAGCTTGGGAAGCAAGCTAAGTTAGAAGCTTGTAGCACAAGTTTCCCAAGTGTACAAGCAACTAAGCAATTTTGGCCAAAGGAAGGCAAGCTAGGTGACCCACTTGTTTTTCCATATTTAATCCAATCCAAAAACTTAGAGTTGGTTTAGTTAGGTTCACCATATGATGGTGAGACCTAGCTAAATCAATTCCTTGGAAAATAGTAACTTGAAGAGGAATTAACATCAATCCGGTTTCTCTACAATGTTTCCATCACACATCTCACCTCGACCTTCATATAGCCACCCTTAAAATTTTCCACTTTTTCCCTCTCCTACAAATTCTACAATAATATCTTGCATCCCTAAATTAAAAATCAATAATATTAATGGATTTCAACCCTTAGACTGGCTATTTTAGGCCAAGCAATACTTTGTGTTTTATCATATACCTTGGAAGCATTAAGTTGGTTCAAATGGATGTATCAAAACAACCAACTTACTAATAAAAGGTCTTTTACCAGGGCATTAGAACTTCGTTTTGGTTCTTGTACTTTTGAAAATCATCAAGTCGGACTTAATAAGTTACAACAAACTAGGTTTGCTAAGAATTGTAGTGACTTCAAGTCAAAGGACTACTTCACCATGATTGTCATGAGAAACACATTTGATACTTACATAACTATTATGAAGTCTTCTCATAGTGGATTGATAAGTGTCTAATTAGTTTGATTAAATACTCACTTGAGAAACTTATCTAGCACACTTTGTGTACATATTGATATTATTTTGATCTATATATGCTTAGAATCAAAGAGGTATTTTTGATTATTGCTAGTATAAGGAATATGAAGCTTTTGATCCAATTTGGTGCTTATTTTGTAGGTTTTGAAACTTTCCCAACCAAATTCTAAACTCAAAATCAGAGATAAGTGATCAGTTTATCAAAGCATTAAGAACAGAAACAAATCACTGACATAGAGTAATAGATGATATATATATATATATGAATCAAACAGAAATACAAAGGAGTTTGACGATTACATCAATCCCAACCCTAGAGATTAGCTCTCCATAATACAAGGAATCACCCAATAACAAGATGAAATGTGGAAGAAGAAAGAAATCCTTCGAAGAATCGCGTCCCCATGAGCTCCAAAAGTGTTCTGTTTCTTCCTTGCCCTGTTTTCTCTTCGTTCAATTCAAGATGATAGCTTTTTCTCTCTCTTCTTCCCTTATATATGTGATAGAATTAAAACAGAGTGAACAGGAAAGAGACAAATCCGCTCAGCGACAGTTACTTCATTGATCGAAGAAATTTGTCTATTAGAAGATTGTTCTCCTTCATTTGAGACCCTTCGAATTAAGAAACCAGGCTCTTTGGGATCAGGCAAAACATTTTCACTAGTCAACATCACAACAACTGATGTCATGTTCGGCCTATCGTTTGGATGATGTTGTAGACATAGAAGACTAATTTGAATGCATCGCACAACTTCAAATATATTACATGAGTTTTCCAAACAAACATCAATCAATTTCTCTGGAGTACCATTTTTCCACAATTTCCATGCCTACAATAATGTAGAACATTTGTTAGATAATATTTTATAATAGGAAGGTTATTTTATATTTTGTGTTACTCACTTGATCAATGAGATTATGATCGTGGTCTTGGTAGGTAAATACTCTATTTTTCTTTCCACTAACAATTTCTAGCAATAAAACTCCAAAGCTGAACACATCTGATTTTATAGAGAATAGTCCATCAATGGCATATTCCGGTGCCATGTAACCACTAAAAGGAGGCAGAAAAATTAATTTCATATTCCATTAATTATTATAAAACTTTAGCACTAATCATTTAAGATACTTACTGTGTTCCAACTATGATGCTTGTACTCCCTTCAACTTGATCGCTTCCACACATTCTAGCAAGACCAAAATCTGAAATTTTTGGATTCATATTATTGTCTAATAAAATGTTACTTGCTTTCAAATCCCTGTGTATGATCCTTAATATAGAATCTTGATGAAGATAAAGAAGTCCCCGAGCAATTGCATTCAAAATGTTCAAGCGCATTGGCCAATCTAAAAATTTTCTTTGAATGGAATCTGCGAAGATTATTCGATAAGTTGATTAGTCTTTTCTTTCCAAAATATCATGTGAAACAAACTAGTCTTTTATTATACTAATTACAAAGATTTCAGAAAATACTTACCAAAAATAATTAAATCAAGACTTTTATTCAGCATGTATTCATAGAGTAACATTTTTTCCTCTCCTTCAATGCAATAACCAATAACCTTAGCAAGATTTCGGTGTTGGAGTTTGGCACACAATGTAACTTCATTCCTAAATTCTTTCAATCCTTGTCCTGAACTTCTTGAAAGTCGCTTGATTGCTATTTCTTGTCCGTCTACTAATATACCCTAAGTTTGTGATTAAGAAAAATTGAGATATAACAAGATTCATGAGTCTTCTTTAACATTATTAGGGAGGTCAGAACTTTACCTTATATACAGGTCCAAAACCACCTTCACCAAGCTTATTATCAATTGAAAAGTTGTTAGTAGCGTTAACTATCGTGGCAAGATCAAAAAAAGGAAGCTCCAAATCTTCTTGTCCTCCTTGATCTTTTTGCTCCGTTAACATTCTTGTTCTTGTTTTTCCTTTATTTATTAAACGGGATCAATACTATTGGTATATATATATATATATATATATAT